TTAAATCATAATTAATTATAATGATTATAGTTGATTGATTAATTAAATTATAATTACATATTTAATTAGTAAGTAAACTATGATTAATTTAATTAATTAGTTGATTATAAAGTTATTATGTGCTAAATAGATAATTAAGATTATTTTTAAAGTAAAATGAACAGTCAAGATTACTTTGAGAGTAAAATGGATAATCAATCTTACTTTGACAGCCAAATGGACAGTCAATCCTACTTTGACAGTCAAATGGACAGTCAATCCTATTTTGACAGTCAAATGGATAGTCAACCCTATTTTGACAGCCAATTGGACAATCAACCATACATTGACAGCCAATATGATGGTATAATTTTTTTTTCCTTTTCCCTCTCATAATTTTTTATTTCATGTTGATGCATACCATTTACTAACATATTAATTTTATGTTAATTTACATAGGAATTGTTGAGGATATTCCTGAATCATTATGGAATTGTCCATCTCGGAGTCCTTTATGGAAGAAGTTGACAACATCAAGGAATCATATTGCAATCCCCCAAGACATTCCATTGCCTAAAAATGAAGACAACATTGTTTGCCAAATATGTGATATTTCTGGACATGTTGCTACTATATGCCCGCAATGATATAAAGTAACTTGTCAACTGTGTAACCGTGAGGGTCATACTGCAAAAGTTTGCCCAAATCGTTACCGATCAGAAAGCGCGTCAGACCCATCCTCTACACCTACTGAGTCTTTTAAAACTATTGCAAAGATTTTTGCTAATGGTCGTCTTATATTTACAAAAAAGTCTTTGGATGAAGTATATAAAAAATTACGTTCCATTCAAGAACCGTAGTTATTTTACCTTACTTACTTATATTCTGCAATGTATTTTCTAATGTCCTTTATCCATGTATGATATTAGGACATAATGTTTTAATGTGTATTCTATCTCATGACACTTTAATTATGATATTAGGTTATCTTTTTATATTTATATGTTTCAATTATATGTTTTTATATATATTTAGAATATAGAGTTAATTAACTAATAAAAATTTTATATAATATTATTTATATAAATTGTAGATCAAAAGTTTGAAACAATTAAGTAAAAAAGAAGAGAAAACAAAAAAAA